CTGAGTATAGGGCCATGGCACATACTACCTGTGAGTTAGTGTGGTTGAGGAATCTTCTACAAGAAATTGGGTTTCACATGGATAAACCTATGAGACTGTATTGTGACAACCAAGTTGCACTCCATATCTCATCAAATCCTATATTTCATGAGAGAACAAAGCACATAGAGGTTGATTGCCACTTTGTGAGAGAGAAGGTCCTTGCTAGAGAGATAAACACAAAACATGTAGGCTCGAATGATCAATGGGTAGATTTGTTTACAAAAGCTCTAAGCTCAGGGAAAGTGAACTATCTACGTAACAAGCTGGGATTATATGACATATATTCTCCAGCTTGAGGGGGAGTGTTAAAGTGAGCTGAATAGGGGTAGTTTAGTCATCTCATGTTTGTTAAGTACCTTGCTTATGTGGCAGTTTTATTAGAGATACTCTGCCCACACTTAAGTAAGGRCAGTTTAGTCTTTGTAAAGGTTATTAGAACCTAATAAACATTAGGGGGTCAAATGAACAGTGCACGAATCAGTTTTGACTAAACCCTCCTGTTCTCTCTTTCTCTTTTCTTCTTCTTCTTCATCTTCTTCTTCCTTCTCTCCTGGTTCGGATTACTGTAGCTGCATTCGAAACATCAACCATACAATTTCCTGGTCTATTGGCATTTTTTTTTTTTCTGGAGGATGAGGTAATGCTTAATGGCTCATGAGTCCTATTAGACATCACTGTTATGTATTGCAATGCCATCTTTCTCAGGCCTTTGTTCTTACAAACTCTGGTGTCTATCAATTCATGGTGTATGTGGCTCTATTGGTCACTTCTTTGGAAGGAATATTGCTTCTTGACTGCATTTTTCTGTGTCCAATCTGCTTGGTGTATCCTCGTTGATTTTCTTTCTTCTTTGAGAAAGATTGACCCTTGTAAAATTTAACATATTAAATCACTAAACTGTGACATACAACTGTAAAGAACAGTAAAATGGCTATAATACTGGAAGGTATTGTAAACTAGAAGTCTTTTCCATGTAACATGCTAAATACACATTATTTACGTCTGTTCAACTTTTGTGTCATTGTGTTGAATAAACACATGTATCTGAACTTCTTGCTATAAGTTTCTTTTCTCCAATGCTTCTGATAGTTGTAAAAGCCACTGTATTGGACTTGTCACCCTCACTTATAAAGGAAAAAAATAATGACTTTGGTACATTTCATTTATGAATTCTGTGAACTTATATGTCAAGGAGCTTGGAAACTGAAATCATCTCATCAGGCATTGTCATGGATTAAATGAATTCAATCAAACAATTATCCATGACTATAAGTTACCTGCATTTATTAGGGATAAWTTTTCCTCCTTAGTAGTATTTATTTTGGTGAAGAGGAATTGGGGGTGGGGCAGAGCAGGGTGCACTTGAGGCCCACTGGCCATAGCACAGAGAGCCTGTGTATCCGCTGGTTTGATTCCGTGCCTTCTAAATGGAGGGCTTTCCATGCAACCATCTCGACTACTAGGTCATTGGCCTCCTGGGTAGTATGTGGTTTATTGAAAAAGACCTTGAATCTAAGATGTTAAATGAACTAACATCAGTCCTGAATTTAAGTATCTAACTTCAACATTTATTTGACCATTGGAGAGACCATTTATGCTCCTACTCAACGTCACCATCAAGTTGGAACTGGGTACCTTTCTACCATCAATGGTCTAGGATATACTTATGCAATCACAAATCATGAACATACTACAAATGATCCTATAGTACAATCAATACAACCTTGTCTTAAAGCTCCTTTCTCATTCCAATTCACTTGGAGATAAGTAGAAGGGATAGCTGCTGAAACCATTTGAATGACTATCTTGTCTTATTATTACTATAACTGTTTTGTCATTATCATCACTACTTTTCTTTTATTATCTACTATTTTTCCTTATTCCATGATAATGCAAGAAGAACAAGCACTGAGGCATGCCACTTCCATAAATAAATTGCCCATACTGTTTCGATCTCCTTGCTATTTTTCATCAAACTTAAGAGTTCAGCTACGTAGAATAGATGCCTAGGCAGTAGTATGATAGTAAGAGTTCCACTTAATGGATTTAGTGCATTTCATAATCTTTTTGTTGTCATACAAACCATAGAGAATTACTACTTAAGAAATTGGATTGGATGCTTTCTTCCAATAAGTTTCTCCAACTTCAAAGATATGTTGATAAACAGAAGGAATAACATATTCTAGGGATTTAATCATTTATTGATCTAAAGCTAGGTACCT